TAGAACCTTATGTGTGCTCCTGACTATGCAGTTATGTCTAGGACTTGTGTGCTTGTATGCTGTTGAGCTACAGAGGCAGGGTGATGACTCTCAGAGGCCAAGGCTCCTCATTCAAATTTGGTGGCATATTAGCCTCTTCCTCCACTTCCAGGTCCTTTTTTTATTGGTGACACTTGATCAGGATCAAACTTTGTTCCCAGGCATGTCAGAGTTGGGTCCTGCAAAGTCTGGCACAAATTCTTCCTTTTTCTTACCTCACCCTGATCTTGTCACTACTCAAGCAGCACCCTCCGAGCTAGATCGCAATCATGTATTCTTCTTCCTTCTCCATATCCAGTCCTATTCTAGCTTTCTCACCCTCCCTCCACCCCCAGAAACTGGCCCAGGGTGACTGATACTGTGGTGGAGATGTGCCCTGCAAGCCCCAAGGGCCAACACAGTCAATGCTTGAAGCATAGAAAAGAATGTGGGCTTAGGAGGCAAAGGAGCTAGAATTCCATATGAGCAAGACATTGAGCCTCAGTTTCCTTATCTGTAAGATGGAGGTGAAAACCTCTTACCTCAAAGTGTTAAGCCATTTGAAGAGCAGCTAGCCTGGTGCTACATATTAATCCCAAGGAATGGCCTTCCTTCTCCTCTATTTGGAACCAAATTGCCAAGGTCACCTGATACTCCTGCCTCTTCTCTTCCCCTGCATCCTTTGCCCTCCTTGGGCACCCCTTCCCTCCTGGACATGTACAGCTCATGGCTGAGAGTGCACTTGACCCCACTGCTTACACGGTCATTACATCACAACTCTGCCATAGGTCATTTCACTCTGAAGCCTTCAGTCCCAAGCTCTCATTGGCCAAGGCCCCCTCACATGGTAAGCAACTGGTACCCTGGCCCCTGGGACCTGTTATCCCAGGCTTGTCCACTCATGGCCTCCTTGGAGTCAGTGTTCACCTCCTATTCCCCATCTAACCCAGGGCTCCAGGAGGAGCTCCTGGGGCACATGGCAGGTGCTCCAGCTATGACTACTTCTCTGTACTCCTTAGGATGTGAAGTTGCTTCAGTGGCTGTGCCTCAGAGTTAGGGAGGAGGAGGAAGCTGCTGTTCTGTGGAGTGGGAGCAGATGGTGAATGAGCCCTCTCCATCTCATCCATGCCAGACTGTGGGGATGGTACTGTTGAGCAAACAAGTAGACACACCTGCTATCCACTCCACAGCTGCCCCTGGAGCATCAAGGGCAGGAACCGACCCATCTGGGGCCTGGGGTAGGGAAGGGATCTCAGCATAAGAAGCCTGAATTGGACTAAGGTCATCAGTCTTCAAGTCCCAAGTCAGCACCTGCTGTGTGTGACGCTGATCACTCAGAGCCTTGGTTTTCTTCTCTAAAATGGGCATCATAGGCCTACCTCACAGGATCTGACTCCATGGCCACCCCTTTCTTTTCCTTTTCTGGAAAAAAGAGGAACAAAGAGTTTGGTACCAGGAAGATAAAATAGGAGGTAGGGGGGCTGGGAAGGTGGCTCAGTGGTAGAGCGCTTGCCTTGCATGCATGAGGCCCTGGGTTCGATTCCTCAGCACCACATAAGCAAAAAGAAAAAAGCCGGAAGTGGCGCTGTGGCTCAAGTGGTAGAGCGCTAGCCTTGAGCTGAAGAGCTAAGGGACAGCACCCATGCCCAGAGTTCAGGCCCCACGACCGGACCCAAAAAAAAAAAAACATAGGAGGTAGGGTAGTAGACTGGGTTGAAAACTTAGAATTTTCTTTGGCATTTGAGAGAACTGGATTCTATTCTGAACTGAGATAGCCTCACGTTTGTGTCTATACTTATGCTATCTATTGACCAAGTGCTTTTTTACAGTACACAATGAATACAACAGGTGCAACCCTGAGAAAGTCATGGTCCCTTAGACCTCTCTGAGCCTCTAAGCTTCAGTTTACCCATGTATAAAATGGGTTGTAGTTATTTCTTACATATTCTTAGAGCTGCTAGGTTCAAATTCATTCTAATGTCTACTGTAAGCATTTGTGGGTTTCTAGAGGTTCCTATAGAAACCAGAGATTATTATAACCTCTCAAAAAACATTTACAAGTTTTAAAGGTGAGGCTTTGGAGTGTGGGCCACACCCCTTTCAAGGTCACACAGAACCGTAAGTCTGCAAGCTCCTACCTGGCTCTATTCCAGGCCTTACTGCTAACGTTAGCTTGGGCCTGTGACATGCAGGCAAATGGAGTTAGGCCTGAGGGGACTAAGCTTTAGTGGACCCAACTAATGAGCACATGAGAGCCACAATAAGGGACCCACACAAGGATATTAACCTCCTGGCCCAGGTCAGGCACTGGAGTGAGTGTTAGCTATGAATTGGGGATGAGTCCAGTTTCCACAACTGAAAATTTCTCAACCCAGAGCTTGGCATAAGCTCTGTATCATCATGGCAAAAAAACCCTGCCATGTTGCTGACCCCACGAACACTCAGCATTCTGGTCACTGGGTGAGACCTGGGGTCTCCACACACTTTGCTCCCAGCAGTTCACAGGATGCTGAGCAAGGCAGACAGTCTGGATAGGTGTTTGATAGAAGAGAACAGGAAGTGAAGTCAGGCTTGCAGGGACCAGTTTGATGAGGAATATTTTCTAGAAAATCTAAGATGTTCAGGGGAGCTGATACTGTCTCTTAATTTTCAGAAGCTGAAGCTGCATCTTAGGGTCCTCTCAGAACCTTGAGTTTACCAGGCTCACACCCTGGATCCTGAGACTACCAGGAACCAGACTGGGCAAGGAGCTGAGGGGACTGGGGAAGAAGAGTGGGTTCCTATTTCCCAGAGCCAATGTCAGAGGTAAAGTTGGGAAGGGCTAAGGCCTTGGAGCCACTTCCTCTTTCCCACAGCATGATGTGATGTCACTTCTGTAGTCCTGGTTCCCTCCATCCCTGCTTCTTACCAGGAAACCCTGGTCAGGAGGTATGGGAAGGAGAAGCAACAGGAGCCAAAGCCCTTGTGTAACCCCCCACTCAGCCACACCTGGGGAGAGGGCACTGAAGAACCATAATGGGTGAGTATGGGAAGGGTTCCTTCAGACCTTAGTGGCTCACTCAGCCCCATCCTTAATGCCAAATCAAAGCCCAGCTTTAGCCTCCCACGTCATCTGTGTTCCAACCCTGATCATAAACCCCACCCCACCATACTTCCTCTTCAACTGCACACTCTACAAGGAGCCCTAATCCAGACCAAATCAACCTCGGCATCCATTAGTCCTCACATCAAGCCATCCCCACTGGATGCTGCCCCTCCCTGGATTCCAGACTAATCCTGTGTTCTCACATCAGCTCCATTCTAACCCAGATCTTAATCAGAACCCCAACTCAAGCCCACTCCAAACTCTCATCTCTAGCTGCTATCTCAGTGTCACCCTAACTCACCTCCAATCCCAGTCCTTGAACCTATGCTGGTGCCCATCCCAGTCCACCCAGCCCCACCTTGGCTCATTCTTGAGCCAAGTCTTACCCTCTTTCCACCCCACCCTCATTAGTGGACCCCTTTGCTACACCACTGCCTCACCTTCACCCCACATCCTTGCACCTGCACCTGTATTGCACATCCTCACCCAACTCTACCCTTGCTCATGCTCAAACCCACTGTGCACTCAGCTAATATAGGCCAGAGTAGAATGGACACACTGCAGACAGAGACTTCTGCAGGTACATGTATACACACATAAAAAATATGCCTCTTAAGCATTCACATACATACCTTGTCACACATGGATACACACATCCCTCAATGTATATATACATCGTCATGCACAAACACTTCAGTGTGTACACAGCACACACTTCAGTTCCATATGCATGCATTTTGGCGGACACAGGCATTTGTACACATCCGCACACCAGCAAGGAGAGCAAGTCCAATCTGGCACTGAAGACAGTGCAGGAAAACCTCATGCTCCCTGATCCTGCCTGACTGAGCCCTTTGTTCCCTTATCATCAGCTCTACTCCCTCTGGGCCTTCTCCAGTATTGACTCTCCTGTCCAAGTATTGCTGCCTGCTTTGTCTTTGAACATCTGCCTGGTTTATGGAATAGTAAGATGGCAGTCCCATTGCTGTTCTTCCTCCTGGGTCCAAGGGCTCTGCTCACATGCCCAGTGCCCACTAGTGATCCCAGACAGAGGCCTGTGGGCTCGCAGGATGAGGATGGAGCATGGCTCAGACAGCCAGCTGGCTCTGAGAGCCATGCCAGGAGCTCCTGTGAAGGGAAATGTAACAAAGGGGTCCTTTACTGAGGGCTTCCTGGATGACAGACATTGAGCTAAACTCTTGAAAACTACATTTAACTCTCAGAACAATAGCATTGGCCCACAGGCAAGGTACTTACCTGGACTGTCACAGGGACACTGGGGATCACCGATGGGAAAATGTCTGCCCAAGTCACATACCTCAAAATGGGACAGTAGGTGGGATTTGAGGGCAGGCCCGGGAATGACCAAGATAAACCCCTCCCTAAAGTCACAACCTGAAACCTCCTGGGTCTGCAGCTTTGTCTACATCCCAAACTCCCTTCCCCTGGGCTGACTTACACTCTCTTCATAAAATGGTCTGCCACTCTACCTATCTTCCTTAAAGGAATTTCCCCTCACTCCTTAGAGGAAATTCCCCTGTGCCTGCCTAGGTGCCCTGCCCTCTTCTACCCTCAACCTGATTGCCCTGTTGTCACTGTCCTGGGCTAGGTTTGGGCCTTTCTCAAGTGCAGGGTTGGGTCTTCAAGGCCTGGCCCAGAGTATGCTAACCCAGCCCAGCTGTGGGTCAAAGTGGTTCCCAGGGAGGGGCAGGACTCTGCCAGTCTCAACTGATCTCTTATCTCCTGGGGCCTTGGTCTTATCTGATGAGGTCTGACAGGCAGCAGATGCACCTCTGACAAGCTCAAGGTTACTGAGTAACCCAGGCCTCTTTAAAAGCCCCATTGTTTGCCCCCAATGTCCAGTACTGGCGAATTCTCTCCTCTGAGCACTGCTGCCATGAACACCTGCCTGCTCTCTGCGCTGTGTCTCCTAGGGACCTGGGCCACCCTGGCAGGAAGTGTGACCGTGAAGGTATGTCCCCATTCCTATGTGGTCCAGCCCACTCTCCCAAGACAGCTCATCATTTTTGGCCGAGGTATGATGGGTAGTTGGTAGCTTCAGCTTCCAGGCAAGATCCCCTTTTCAGTCCTGCCAGCCACAGTTACCTTTCCCTCCAAACCCGGAGAGGAGAGAATCCAGGTAGACAGGAGAGAAACATTTGTTTGGGCAAAGAGAATGACATTGCCTGCAGTGACCATCTGCTCCTGCCCTCGAATCTCAACTGCAACCCACCAGCAATCTGGGTGCAGGAGACTAATCATTATTCTTTCTATTTTACAACTGGAGGAAATAGTCTCAGAAAGGTTCCACAACAGACCATGGCCTAAAGCAACTCGTTGTAAATCCAGGCATTGTTCCTGAGACCTGTGCTCAGCATGAGCATTTGTCTGGGTTCCAAGAATCACATGGACATTTGGAGGTCCTGATAGATGACTCTTATCTATCTACTTTGCAAGGCTCCCCCCCCCACTCCTCCTTCCCCCTCCCCCCCACTCCCCGCCGGCCATGGCCCAAGCTGGCACCCAGCATGGGTCTTGCTCTTTAGGAGAGCGCTCTGGAAGCCTTTCATTGCTTCTCACACAAAAACTAGGCCAGAGGCTGGAAGTGAGGGCATAACACCCAACCACACGGCATTCATGTGGGCAGTCCATATGGAGCTATGATGCCTGGATCCTGGCCTCTGCATCACCCTCCTCAAAAAATAAAAATAGCATACCAGCTCTTGGTGAGGTACATACTGTGTCCTTGGAGCACCATGCCCATGTCTCCATTCTACAGAGGGCAGTATGCAGAACCTAAGGTCTCCCCTGTGCTTAAGGTCAGAGGTGCTAGCTCTGACTCAGACTGAAGCCACCCCCTTCCCCCCACCCCCTGCCAAGCAGAAACTCTCCTTTCACTGTGTGCACAGATACCAGTCTGTTTTCTGGGGATGCAGGCAGCCTCAGCCTGGCCTCATACTCTGCTCTGACTGTCTCTTCCAGGATGGAGAGTTCTCCTTTCCTCTGGAGTCAGTGAAGAAGCTTAAAGACCTTGAGGAGCTCCCAGAGCCCAGGCTTGGCAGCCGCAGGAAACTTTTACCCATGCTAAGGGAGCCTGTTGCTCCCAGGCTCTGCAGCTATGCTAATTTTCCAGAAGCACTCAGGCCACTGTGCAAGGAACCCAATGCAGAACAGATTCTGCAGAGATTGGGTGAGTAGCTTTCTCTCTGCTGGCAGCACTGGGAAATTCTCTGACTGGTGCTCTTGAGAAAGCTGTGCTCTAATTTGGGGGTCAGGGGGGACTCCGAGGAGAAGCTTAGCTCTGATTGGTGGGTCCAGCACACTGCTTCAGCTTTTGGCACCAAGGAGAAAGTGATTGGGAGCATGTACTCCACTGGGCTTATCTGTATCTCCTTGCTGGCTTAGAAGCTCCTCTTGTATTAGCTGGCTTCAGTGGTCTTTGTAAGCTTGTTTGAGGCAGAGAGCTCAGCTCTCTGGGGGCTGGTTGCCAAGAGGTTTGGGAGATGGGAAGCTGGCTGGTTCTCACCAGACCTCATTTCTCTTGTCTAGAGGCCATCGCTTATGACCCAGGCATGTGTGAGATCTGTGCCTACGCTGCCTGTACTGGATGCTAGGTCTCTGCCTCTTCCCCAGCCCACAAAGAAGCCCTTTCTTCTACTGGAAGGTCAGCCTGTGATACTCCAGGTGTTAGCATTTCAACATACCCTACTAGGAGTGCGGAGAAGTGAAGAGAGAACAGCTCAGAAAGTAGCTGAGGAAGTGGAGGACCTGGGTGAAGCTTTCGAAGATCTGTGCCAGCCTCCAGTGAATAAATTAGTTTCAAGTACGCCCAATGTTGCTTCCATTTCTTCCTTCATCCATAAGTCCAGCATGGTCCAATATTGTGGATACTGCTCTGGGAAACTCAAGGTTTAGTGTGCATTGTAGAAAGACCCTAATTCCCTTCTCTAGCATCCCACTCACTTGGGGCTACCACCATACACAGGTATAGAGGGAAACCTGTATCTCTAAACCACGACCCAAATGGGTGGATTCTCTGCCTTTCCTCTAAGTCTGCCATGATCACTGAAGTCACCAACCCACCTGTGAGCACAGGAATCCATCAGGTCTGGTCTGGATGGCCAGCACAGACACTTGATGCTTTTGTTTTCAAGGTACACAGAATTTAGCTGCTTCTAACCAGCCAGATTTGCCTGCTCCTGCTACCCTGTGCACTGACTTTTCTCCACAATCTTGATCAGGTAGACTACTCAAGCTTCAAGTCTTCATTGCATTGCCTTTCCTCAAGGCCTTTTCCCTGGCTAATTGATCAAAATGTTCAAGTACTCTGTCCTTGGAGCTCCCAGAGTACACTGATTACCCACACCCTTTGCACAGCTCTGTCTACCCTACGGTATAATGGCTTCTGTGCCTGGGAAATCTCTCTGCCCCCAGACAGATGATGGCATAAGGATATAATAAGGAAAAAAAAACCTAGGTCCAAGCTCCAGGCCTTCCATATACTGTATGATGTTAGGGAAGTCACTGTTCTTCTCTGTGTCCCAGTCTTCTCCTCTGTAAAACCAGAATACTAATAGTGTGCACCTCTGGTCTGGGTGAAATAATGCATTTAAAGCTCCCCTTTCAGGCCTGACACAAACATAAATGGAATTCAATACATGTTAAAAACAAACAAACCAAAGAAAGGGGGATCAAGGGTCAGGCTGTGAATGGTTCAGACAGGAGTGAACAGGTGTGGTGTGGAAATAAGGCCAGTTAGCCAAGGGAAAAGGAAACAGGTGGCAGCCAGGGGGTACATCTTGGGGAGTGGAGTAAAAGGGAAATGCCACTTGGGGGTTCAAGCAGAGTTTCTGCAGGCTGTGAAATTTGGAGAATAACCTCTTCTGGCTGAAGTCTTGGAAGACTTGATGAAGAAGGAGATGAAGTATATTTTCCTTGACATTTGGAGCTTGCTTTAGGGTGGATGGATCTCAAAACCAGGGTGAATGAGGGAAGAAAAACTTTCAGAAAGTGAGGATGGGAGGAACACACATAAAGGAGCTGGGCTAGTTCAGCCTGGACAGTGTAGAGTCAGGGAAGGAGGCAGGACTGACCATGATTTAGAAGTTGTATGCCCCTCTCTGATCAGGAATGAGAATAACAAAATCTGCCTCCCAAGGTTGTTGAGGGATCTGATGAGATGTATTGTGGGTAAAATCATTTAATGCTTAAACTCTTGAGCCAGACTCTCTGGCAATGAATTCTGTCTCTGCCTGCTAGAGTTTTGTGACTCCTGGGAGGTTACTTCTCACTTTCCTCATCTAAAAAATGTAGATGATAAGAGCCATACTCTGTAGAGTCAAATGAAGATGAACTGAGGTAATATTGGAAAAATTCTTAGTATCCCACTAATCCTGGGCAACCAGTGGATCAGAGACGAAATGCAAAGAAAAATTAAAAGGTATTTATAGACTTACAAACAACACAACACAGCAACTATACCAACACTACCAGACACTGAAAAAGCAGTTCAAAGAGGGAAGTTTATAGTCATACATGCTGACATGGAAAAGGAAAGTCTACACTAAGCAAGGCTAACATTACACCTCAAGGAACTAGAAAAAGAATAAAATATGGCCAAAGTTAATAAAAGGAAGGAAACAACAAAGACTGATGCAGAAATAGATGAAGCAAAGACTCCAAAAACAATGGGAGAGATCAGCAAAAGTAGGAGTTGGATTTTTAAAAGATAAACAAAATGAACAAACCTTTAGTTAGACTGAGAACAAAAGAGCAGATACAAATAATAGCACTGGGGACTCCCAGGTCTATGTCCTCTTGCTATAGAAACTGTTTTGCTCTTTTCCAGTTGCTTTCAAATAAACTTGATCTGTCTACTTGAACCACACACACACACAATAATAATAATAGTAATAATAATAGTAATGATAATAATAAATTAATTTAAAAATAACAGCACTGAGCTTTCCTTCTAAAATCAGGAGTAAGGTGGGATGCCTCACTTTTCCTACTTTTAGTCAGTGTAGTGCTAGAAAATCCTAGGCACAGCAACTAGTCAAGAAAAATAAAGGCATCTAACACAGAAAGATAGAAGGTGAATTGTCTCTGCAGATTATACACTCATACACGGAAGACTCCACCAAAAATAAAAGCCTTGTTAGAGCTAATAAATCTGGTAAACTTACAGGATATAAACAGAATAGAGAGACTAGAAATCAATTTACAAATGATGCTTCACAAAAATGACAAAAATCACACAAGGAAAGAACAGACTTGAATAAATGGTGACAGGGAAATAGGATGTCTAGATGCAAAAGAATGAAATTAAAATCTTATACAAAATTCAATTCAAAATGGGTTAAAGGCTTGAATGTTAGAGCTGAAACTACAGAACTACTAGGTAAAAAAGATGAGTACATTTCCTGGCACTGGTCTTGGCAAGTGTTTCTTGGATGTGACCCCCAAAAGTACAAGTAACAAAAATAGACAAGGGGGAATGCATCAAACTGAAAAACATTTGCATGGCTAAGGAAATAATCGGCAGAATAAAGAAACAACCTATAGAATGAGAGAAATATTAATGGAGCATACATATCTGATGAAGGTTTAATATTCAACGTATTTAAGAACCTGAGTAACTCAGCAGCAAGAAAACAATCCAATGTTAAAGCAGGCAAAGGGACTGAGAAGTTTTTCTTTTGACACACACTGGGAAAGTGCATATTAAAACCATGATGACATGTCACTTTACATCTCTTCTAAGGGGTCTCTTAGAAGAAGAAGAATATTAGCAAGGATGTAAAGAAAGGGGAATAGTACATGCTTTTAGTAGAATATAAATTATTGCAGCCACTATGGATCACAGCATAGACAAGCCTCCCTCTAATAAAAATTAGATCTACCATATGATCCAACAAGTCCACCTCTGGTTATTCATCCAAATGATATGAAGTGTATTGAGAGATAGGTTCCCTGCCATGCTCATTGCAGTATTACTAAGGCATCCATGTATAACTAAAGCATGGAATGAAGAAGATAACCTTAATTATACAAGAGAATACTCTCCTCTTCAAAAGAGGGGAATCCTGTCATCTTTGATCAGGCGGATGAACTAGGAGGACATTGTGCTAAGTGAATAAGCCAGGTACAGGCCGACAACCCTAGTTATTGGTGGAATCTAAACCATCTAACTTCTATTCAGAAGGTAGCAACTGGATGTGAGGGAGCAAATGGAGAGAAAAGAGGAAGAGCTGGGAAGTTGGCTCAGTGGTAGAGTGGTTGCTTTGCATGCATGAGGCCCTGGGTTCGATTCCTCAGCACCACATAAGCAGAAAAAAAGCCAGAAGTGGCGCTGTGGCTCAAATGGTAGGGTGCTCGCCTTGAGCTGAAGAGCTGAGGGACAGCGCTCAGGCCCAGAGTTCAGGCCCCACGACCGACCACATACACATACACAGAAAAAAGAGGAAGAAGGCAGGGTACCTCTGGTTTATGCCTGTAATCTTAGCTAATAGGGAGGCTGAGATCATAGTTCAAAGCCAGCCTGGGAGGAAAAGTCCATGATACTCTTATCTCCAAGTAACTAAAAAAGGAGAAGAAGGAGAAGTTGGAGAAGAAGGAGGAGAACAAGAAGGAGGAGGAGGAGGGAGAAGGAGGAACAGGAAGGATGGAAGGAAGGAAAGCAGGAAGGAAGGAAGGAAGGGAAAGAGGAAAGGAGGGAAAGAAGGCAAGAAAGAAAGCAGTTGAAAGTGGCTCAAGTGGTAGAGCACTAGGCATGAGCAAAATATCTCAGGGACAATGCCTAGACTCTGAGTTCAAGCTCCAGGACTAGCACAAAGAAAGAAAAGAAAAGAAAATGGGGCTGTGAAGGTGGCTCAGTGGTAGAGCTTGCCTTGCATGCATGAGGCCCTGGGTTTGATTCCTCAGCACCACATAAGAAAAAAAAAAGCCGGAAGTGGCGCTGTGGCTCAAGTGGTAGAGTGCTAGCCTTGAGCTGAAGAGCTGAGGGACAGTGCCCAGGCCCAGAGGTCAGGCCCCACAACCGGACCCCCCCCAAAAAAAAAGAAAGAAAAGAAGGAAGGAAGGGAGAGAATGGAGGGAGGGAGGAAGGAAGAGAAGAAGGAAGGAGAGGAAGAGCAAGTGGAAGAGAAGGAAGAAAAGTGAGGATAAAGAGGAAGTTAAAAAAAAAAAAACAAAAACCAAAAAAACAACAATAAAGCTGCCATGAACCCTGTAGGGCCACTGCTCCTCTGTTTGGGGACAATGGCACAGCCGCCCGGCTGCGTGTGGTCAGCGCTCCTGCAGTGTCAGTTCCCCATGCTAGCTCTACCAAGAGGCTGCACAGTGCAGCTGTAAGGGGCAGTGAGTGATGCTTCAGGTTGGTGCTTGGGGTCAGGTTAGACTTGAGAGATAGATGGCACTGGGAAGTCACAACAGGGAAATGAGCCTTGTCAGAGAAGTGCCCATGAAGAAAGCTCTAGTCTGGCCTCCGTAGCAGTAGAAAGTGAGCAGTAGCATCCAAGAGAGCTATAGCAGGCCTGGTAGAGTCCCAGCCAGCATCTTTGAGGGAGGGGGAGGAAGAGGCTGTGAGCCTCACTAGCTAAACTGGGCAGTCAGTCCAGGCAGCTGCCCAGGATCCACTATGGCCCTAGGGAACTTTCAGATGCAAGGACCTCTTGCGTCCTGCTCTCCTCACTCTGGTTGCCCAGCATGATGGCCCAGGAGGAGCTCACTCTGTGGAAAGACAGTGCTCTCAAAAACTCCAAGCCTGGCTGGGGCGCTGGTGGCTCACGCCTGTAATCCTAGCCACTCGGGAGGCTGAGATCTGAGGATCAAGGTTCAAAGCTAGCCTGGGCAGGAAAGTCCGTGAGACTCTTCTCTCCAATAAACCTGGAAATCGGAAGTGACGCTGTGGCTCAAGTGGTAGAGTGCTAGCCTTGAACTGAAGAGCTGAGGGACAGCGCCTAGGCCCAGAGTTCAAGCCCCACGACTGACAAAAACAAAAAAGAAACTCCAAGGCTGAAGGCTGCTCCAAGGACGTGGTGGCTGCCCTGAGCCCTGCCATCAGGGCCACTGACACAGAATGGCAGGGATGGCATGATTGGACATGGACTATCGTCTGGACATCCTGGGGGGACCCACTTGACTGTTAAGTGTTTCTCTCTCTTATGGATTCTCTTTATTTGTAAAGGAGATAAGAATAACCATAATACCGACTTCTTCGGGTGGTCATGACTTGGGGAATTTCCTCTGTCACATGTTTAGAATGGTGCCTGGGCTATACAGCAAGTGCTCAGAAAGGTTGATTGTGCTTCAAACTCCCCAAGATCACCAGGCAGGAGAGAAGGAGGGATGGAGCCTTAGGAGGCTGGGGGCACAGCAAGAGCTCAGGGAAAGAGGAAGGACGCAAAGGGGTGGAGACAGTTAACCTTGATGTTTGCCAAAGAAAGGTAGCAGGAGATTCCATCCCCTAGCCTGTCCCCCACCCCTGCTCCTCACCTCCCCTGCCAGCTCCAAGCTAAGTAAAGGTCCTGGAGCTCACAAGTCTGGATTTTTCTGTGGTTTGGATGATTCTCTTGCCAGAACCCCAGCTCTCTCATCTACAAAATTGGAGTGTCATGAACCAGGTCCCCAGATCTTGGAAACTTCAGGGGAATTCCAGCCTTCCTTCTCAACCCACCCAGCTTCCCAAGATACTCTGCCCCGGTGCCTGTGAATGGACAAGCAGACACTTGACTCTGGATAGAAGCTTTATTCTGGAGCAGGACTGTCTGGGGGCTCCTCCACCTTTGTTTCTCATCACCTTGCCCCAGATCCAGCCACCCTGGGAAGGTGGTGATGAACATGGTAGCCAGGAGCTTTTGTCTGTGCATGGATGGGACGGAGGGCAGCGCAGGAGATGAGGTGCGGGGTCTGAGGAGCAGGCACGCAGGGCAGGTGAGGGACACCCAGGGTCATCTCAGCAGCCAGTACAGGCGACATTCACACACAGCTCACAGTCATCAAAAGCGATGGTTTCTGGGTAGGAGAAAGATGGTCAGTGGAATCCAAACCTGGGAGATCTATGCTCACAGCTTGGGGGGGGGGGGCTGACCAGGAAGAACTGGTGTCTTCCTCGCAGGTATGAGGCAGGAAGATTTAGACAGAAGAGTGAAAGGGCATGGCCCCCCTTTCCTAGAGAGGAAGGGGCACCCCCATCCCCAGCTCTGTGCTACGTGGACAGATCAACAGGGACCCTGCTGGAGGCACAGACAAAGGGTAATGCCTGCTAGGGCCTACGTCATGCTTCCAGGCTCTGTCACATGGTCTAGTCTCACCTCAGCCGTCACTTCCCCTGTGAAAGCCTTTGGGGCCCTCACTTCATTAGATGGCGGCTGTGAGGCCTGTGTCCCATGTGTTCTGTGGTTCCCTGTCTGTTTATGGACCTGTTCCCCTCCCACCTGTGAGGTTGTTGAGACATTTCCCCAGATGAAGAGGTTCCTGTCTGATGACTGTGCTCAAACCAGAGCAACTCTGGGGTGAGAAAGGCCGGGGGACTTTTGAACCTCCCTATGCACAGCCACTGGGCACAGCACATACTCAAGGCCTTGAAGATGCTGTCAGCTTCCTGGGCGGCACAGACGGGGAGGAGGTCTGAGGGTAGGGCTGGGTGGTAGCATATAGAAGGCAGGGGTCTCTGGGCCTGCTGGTGGAGACTGGCCTGCTGCCCCTCCAGGTGGCTCAGCTTCTTCACTGATTCCAACTGGACCTGAAAGCCTTGGTACTGCAGGAAGCAGAGGAGATAGAGGCTATTAGGCCATAGACCACAAGCAGACGCTGTCATGAAACCCAGGGGTTCTGGGCCCCCTGTCCTCTGCACCCTTCCTGTTTAGGCCACAGAAAGAGTGACCTGCAGGGAAGAAGGGAAATCAATCTCTTCCCACCAAGCCCCTAGGCAGCACACATGTGGTAAGGTGAGACATCTTGGTGTGCTATGGAGCCCTGCAGATCAAGGCCCTAGAGTCAATGATGCATGCTTTCTGCCGACAACGGGACAATGGGCTGTGCCCTTAGCCAACATGGTGGCTCCAAGCTGGCCAGGTTGACTCTCAACCTACTGCAGGAACCCCTTCTTCCCCCCTCCCTCCATCCCCGCCTCTGGGGACCCTGCCAGTTCAGGGATGAAACTACTGGGCCACAGCTGGGCTTCCCAGGACGCACTGAGTTTGGGGCTGCTGACAGTGTCCAGACAATACGGTAGGCTTTCATGGCTCCTTCCTGCCTCTGGGCCTCAAGAAGGAAACTGGGCCTTTGCATATGCCATTACTTCTGTCTGGAACCAGTTCTTTTGAGTATCCTGCAACATTTCCCACCATTCCCTGCCAGGGAAGTTGTTCTGAGATTCTTCTTCTTCCATGTGTAGGTAGGTGAGCACAGAGCTGGGAGCATGAAAGGGTTTTTTTTTTTCCCAGGGCCCACAGCTTGTTCTACAGTCTGCCTTGTGCCCAGTGTCAGCTTTGGAGAGCAGAGCAGAATAAACAGCAGATCTTTCTCATCCTCTCCATCACCAGAGCCTTCGCCCACTGGCTGTCTCCTACTTGAGCTGCGACTGGCTGTTGAGCTGATCTCAGGGCTCTCCAGAGGGTCAGGGAAGCAGGGGGAGGAGGGCTGGCCAGAGGGACTCACCTTGATGTGGACTGACTGTGTGCTCTGCAGCAGCAACAGGAGGACCACAGCCACCTCCCACAGGCATCCTGACACAGTCCTGCTCACCATCATGGCTCCTTGTGCGTTCCTGCAGCCGCTGTCCACCTGACTTCCCAGCCAGCAGCTTCTTATAGGCCAGGCTCCAGAGCCTGGGTCACTCATTAACTGGCCAGCTGGGTGGAGCTGACAGAAGTCTGGCTTACTGACAAACCCAGAGCTGGTTCTCATGAAGGGGCGAAGAAAAAGAGGAGGAGGGGGGGGAGGAGGGGGGGGAAGGAAGAGGAGGAGGAGGAGGAGGAGGAGGAGGCCAGCACCCTGGGACATAGTAGTGATTGTCAAGTGCGAAGGGCTGGGACCACTCTACTTCCCCTTTGCTTCACAACTCCTCCAGGAGTAGAAAAGCAGGGAGAGTATTTTGCAGTCTTACCAGGTAAAATGACTTTTTGGGCCCAGGTCAGTTTGTGCTTTTTTTTTCTCTAAGTGAGAGATGAGATGCAGACAGAGGGCTGATGACAGAGTTCTGTAGAACCAACTCCCCAATTCCACTTACGATTTAAGGGACTACCTTTCTTCCTTCTGCTGGGGTTTGAATTTAGAGCCTTATGTTGCTAGGCATATGCTCTTACTACTTTTTTTTTTTTTTTGGTGCGGTCATGGGGCCTGAACTCTGGGCCTGGGCACTGTCCCTCAGCTCTTCAGCTCAAGGCTAGTGCTCTACCACTTAAGCCACAGCGCCACTTCTGGCTTTTGTCTTTTTGCTTATGTGGTGCTGAGGAATTGAACCCAGGGCCTCACGCATGCAAGGCAAGTGCTCTACCACTGAGCCACCTTCCCAGCCCCTGCTCTTACTACTTGAACCATATCTTCAGCCCTTTTGGGAATTATTTTTCAGATAAGATCTGGAAAGCCTAGACCTTGATCTTCACCCTCCCATATAGCTAGGATGCCAGGTAAAATCCACCACACCCAGATTTTTTTTTTTTTTTGGTTTTGTTTGTTGAGATAGGGTCTAAATTTTTTTTTATCTAGACTGGCCTCAAACTGCAATCCCAATCTCTACCTCCAGAGTAGCTGGGATTATAGGCAGAAACCACCCTCCCTGGTCCTGAAAGGACAATCCTGCTGACCAGACCTGGCTCAGGCTTTTGCCTGTCGTCTCCCAGCCATACTTAGGTAACCTCACTATGTATAGCCCATCTATTCTCTGTGTGTCTTTCAGAAGCCGTTGTGAAAGGAGGAAAAAAAAGCACCAGTCTTGAAGAGAATGAGGTGAGTTCAAATTCTAGTTTTGCTGCAGTGGTGTCACCTTGGACATGCCACACCAAGACAATCGTCCTTCGTCACAGATACACAGCCTAAGGTTGCAGCAGAAGCAATGGGGCCCTGGCCCACCCGAGCTCCCATGAGCACAGCTACCCTCCAGGCAAGGCAGAGTGCACCACCTCCAGGGTTGAGGGACAGGTCAGAGAGAAGAGAGCAAAGTCTAGAAGGTGCTATCACCACAGCCTAGCAAGGTGGTTATAAATGATGCTTGTGCCAGGTCTTAACACTGTTATGCAAAGACTCAAGTATGTGGCAAGCAGGAACATACCTCCTGCATAATGTGGAGTGGAAGTTCACATCGCTCATCTGGACATCTAAGGTGCTGCTCCAGTTCAGATGTCTTCCTGCTGCATTGCACCCACCTCCTCTTCACCTGCCTGATCCCATTTCCTGTTTTCACGGATGCAGTTCATTTGCTGGAAGCGCCCGCTCCCCCTTTGCTCCCTCTCCCCACTCCTGCCATCTTCTCTCTTATCTAGCAATGAAATGGAAAAAAAGCTCCAGTGAACTTTGGCATTTCCTAGATCTTCAGCCTTTACTTTTTGGACCTGAAGATATTGATGGACTCTTGTTTACCTCTCATCGGGAGGCTGATCGTAAACATCCTGTTATGCTTACGCTCATGTCTTGAATTCTACCAGCTGACACAATGCTCTCACTCCACCCCACGGGATGGGGATAGTGCTTGCTCTGCCGTAAGGACGAGGTGCCCCAGGCCCAGAGAGGCCCTATAGGAGTAGGAGTGGGGCCACTGCCAGGGTTCCACTCAAAATTCTCACCCCTGCTCAGCCTGCTATGGGAAAAGGACACAGGTCCTAAACATGAGGAGTGCTCAGTTCACACCCAGTGCCCACAGCCACCTCTATGTGACCTTGAATACATGACTCTGACTTGTCTGAGCCTCTGTTTCTTCATCAGTGAAATGGAAAGCATAACTAACAGCCTCATGATGGATACAGTGAGGAAGAGCTGAGCAACCTCTCTGTTCTAGGGCTCGGGAAGCCCCTGTCTCTAGATGGAGCGATTGCCCAGCATAGCCCAGAGGACCTGCAGTCCGGTGGCTTCCCTGCCTGTGGGACATCCCCACACAAGCCCTGTCCCTGCACCGAAAGCTGGAACAGCTCTGACTTCCAGGCTGCTCGGGCTGGCCTCACTGCCATTCTGTCCAGAGCTGGATTTGATGATCTCTATGACGTCTGGCAGGTGATGTAGGCTCCGTCATTGTAGGAAGGTGACTGGTCTTCACGACTCTGCTCTGTGTATCAGAACAAGCTCAGCCCACTGACCCCCCCCCCAGGCTGAGGGACAAGGATCAAGCCTGAGGGGTTTGGAGCCCATGGCTATGGTTTCCACCCCTTCTCTGCAATCTGGCTCCTCCAGCCAGGGCCCCTCACTTGTCAGCCTTCCCCTGGGAATGAGACACAACTTCCTCATCTGCCTGACAAGACTCAAATTAATATGTCTAACCTATCTCCCTCTAATCTCTTATGAATGACCCACCATCCATCAAAAACAGCCAGCTGCACCCCTCCAGCCCGCTGACCTCTACGAGTGCTATCAGGTGACCTGCTTCTTTACACACGTAGGTGGGGAGGGGCTGTCAGGCCAAGCTGGGAGCTTCTCACCCAAGAAGGTGGTAAGGGGGGTTACACGTGGCCTCTGTGGGACTCTGGGAGTCATTCTTTTTTTTGGGGGGGGGTCTGGTCGTGGGACCTGAACTCTGGGCCTGGGCTCTGTCCCTCAGCTCTTCAACTCAAGGCTAGCACTCTACCACTTGAGCCACAGTGCCACTTCCGGCTTTTTTCTTATGTGGTGCTGAGGAATTGAACCCAGGGCCTCAGGCATGCAAGGCAAGCGCTCTACCACTGAGCCACCTTCCCAGCCCCGTCAGTCATTCTTGATGCAGCTCTTTCTTTTATTTGTCAAATTCAGCTCACTAGTGGGTTCAGTGGGCTCTACTAAAACATTTCTGGATTCCAACCCACCATGTGCCACCCTCTCTATCATGGCCCAAACTCTCACCATCAGTGAGATGGATGGCTGCGATGGCCTATACTACATAGAGTTCTCCAGAGATTTCTCACCGATCAATCAATCAATCTATGTATGTATGTATGTATCCTTCCGTCTATCCATCCTTCCATCTATCCATCAATCTACCTACCTATCCAGCAACTTATCCTTCATCCCTCATCCTGTGTTGTTTGACTTGGCATGTTGTTACCTCCAAAATCCATAGGGTTGATTGACAGGCTGGAAGTACGGGTAAGAGTTGATATTGCCATCTGTAGTGAATTTGTATCATTTTATGTTGCCTTCACATCTATTTTAAATTCATGTCGGATTTTCTTACATCAGAGGCAGGGCTGCGTCAGCCTGGATACTTCAATGTAATGAATCCAGACTACCTACATTATATAACAGCGCCCTATGGGGTGGCTAGATACGGCCTACCCACTCAACCTCTGTATAGATGATGCAGAAGTGTCACAGTAACCATTTTGTCATAGTGTGACCTCCTGGAACTTGTGCTGGCTTACTTTAAACACACAAACTAAAATCTTAGTGAGATATGACAGTATACACCTGTAAGCACAGCTACTTAGAAGGCAGAGGAGGAAGACGGCAAGTTGTGGGCCATCCTGGATAGTTAATTAGTTCTTGTCTCTGAAACAACATGGCTCAAGTGGTAGAGTGCTTTTCAGAAGGCCTGGGTTCAAACGACACCAACACAAGATTCATGAGAAACTTGTTTGGATAACACCCAGGACCCAATAAAGACATTGGCCTGTGGTCTTCCTCCCTCCTGCTCTGGGAATAACCTGGTCTCCCTGTGTGTAGCCTCTGGGACTTCCATGTACCCCCAGAACCCATAAATTGTCAAATCTCCATTTCCATCTTACACTATCTCTCCTAAGCATTGGAGAAGTCTTCTCCATCTTAAGGATCCTACATGAAGCACAGTGTTGATTCACACATCTGCAGGCCAGGGCAGCAGGTGGGAAACTCCAAGAGTTTCTAAGTTGTAGTCTTGAGGCAAAGCCCTCCTTTAGTAAACCTCAGTCCTTGCTCTTAAGTCCACCAACTGGATGAGGCCCACCTACACACTACACAGGGAAATCTGCTTTACTTGAACCCTACTGAGTATGCATGTTAGTCACATCTAAAAAGCTATTTTCATAGCCATATCAGGTATTTGACTAAGCAACCAGGCCAGATGACACATTAAAGTAACCATCTCAAGTATCCAAACGGATTCCCTTTATCCTTCTTGCCCTTTTCAGGCCTTTTTCCACGCAGCAGCCAAATGAGCCAAATCAGATCAGGTCTCTCCGTTCTAATCTACAAATCATTTTTTTTCCTCCCAGCTACCAATGGCTCCTTACCTCTTAGTCTGAGTAAAATTCAAAGATCTCCAACCACAAGTCCTGAAGGCATTCTTTTTCATCTTTGACCTCAGTTCTGAAACCTCTCCTCTTAATTCTCTAGGTTTCAGACCCCTGACTTTCTTACTCTTTCCCCAGACATAGCAGGCTTATTCCCTTGAGGTCTTGATTCTTCTATGTTTTGATAAAAGTCTCTCCTCACTTCATCCAGGTCACTGCTTCCTCCAACCTCAGAGGGCTTTCTGCTGCTTCTTATTCTAGGAACTAGCTTTCTTGTCACATGCTTGTGTGTTTGTGTGTGTGTGTATGTGTGTGTGTGTGTGTGTGCGCATGGCGTGCACACATGTGCATACCTACATGTATTTCATTTCTTG